ATCTCAACTTGCTTCGTGAGAGGTATGATCCAATCTCCATAGAGACTGGCAACTAAATGTGGCTTGATTTGGTATACAGGGTTAGCTGCATCATCTTCCCCTTCGTCGATTTTAACCTCCTGCCCGTATCGTTTCGTCTTCATCTCCACTCTCCTCTTGATCGCTGCTTCCACTGTTTCGAATGTCAGCAACACCATCAGTTGATTCCTGTCCTGCAAGAACCACACACCGGCACAAGAAAAACACGTCGTCAATATATGAGATAATGAACCATCAAGCAATGCAATGATGAGGGCACATTTATAAGAGGAAGCTTACTTGTGCTCTAATGGCAGCCTCATATTCCGCTGGGGATTGACGGAATTTTGCCTCTGCCACGAATTTCCCATAGTGGATTCTCTTCGAAAGCGCCTGTGACAAACATCCAACATCGGAAAGGAATTTGATAAAAGGGTACACTAAAAGGATTGATGTAGAATCTAACACAACAACGCAAAGTCTTAAGAACAACAGCAGGGAACAAAAACATCGAAAATGCATCCTAAACTACTGTCCCGAACTCAAAATTTCAAAAACCGGTTCGCAAGAGCAGAATTCAATGAACTCATGAGGAGGGAAAGGTTCCATACGTCATGGACAAGGCTAGGAGAAAACGTTAAAATGCGACGCTGCTTCTTTTATCTTTTTATATTTGGGTTTGGAGAGTTGAGAAGCCTTTCATTGAAAGGCTGAAAGGCACCAGAGGCAATACAAACGAAAGGCCAAATTAGAAGGCCCAAGGCAGACGCAACAAACTAAACAACCAGACAAGAGACGAAACAGAAAAACAAATAAAACAATCCTCTCAACTATAATACGACACTTAATTACCTAAACTAGTATAACGTGACAACCTAATAGACTATTATTTGTGTTTGTCATAATTTCTGGACCGTTACGTGAGAATCGTGAACTTCTGTAAATTCAGTTGACAGTGGTTTACCTGCAAACAAAGTGTGTCACAAACAGCATCTGATCCACAATTACCATTGTCTCCTGCTTTGACTAATCTGGGAAGGAGATCTCTAAAGTACATGTTCCAAACCTTACTGTTTATATTAATTGAATCGGCATACGGATGCAAAACCTAGTTTCATTATCAGAGAAAACGCAAATCGGGTCAGAAATCACTTAAAAAGCATACACTAAAACAAGCCAAATTATGCAAGTAAATTTATCAAGTTACAGGGCAAGGGTAAATTATCATGCTGTGTATTAGAATTTACCTGTGGATACTGCAAAGGAGGAAGCATTGGCTCAGGTAAGTGTGCTGGGAAGAAAGGATGTTCATCAGGGCTCTTGTACCTCCCCGCCTGGCATGCGAAAATGAAGCGCAGTTAAGAAAATCTCCGGCATCATTAATAATATTGTAGTAGTTATATTAATCTTTTATATCTTATTTAGATTACCTGGGCATGGAGTTTTTCAGTTTCCCTGACCATAAACTCAACCAGTGAACCACGAAATCCTTCCATCGAGAAGGTGTCATGGTCATACGTGTCTGCATTATAACAGTACTGAGCCCGCTCCAGAAGGCTAAATATTATGCTGTCCTCTTGTCGAATTAAAGAGTGCCTTATACTGTCCAGAGTTAAGATTTCGCTCTCATCCACCCTTTTCTTACTTGAATATCTACAAGAAAAAGAAGCCGCATGTCAGAAGTTAGCCTGCGGAAAATTATGGATTCATTAAGAAATAGAAAGTTCATTTCCTAACATAAAATCTGCTGCTACATAGGCTTTGTTGGGCACATCTGAACTAGTTATGATCTTAGCAAGTATGCTAATTGGGAAATGAGTGCACAATGATAAATTTCCGGCTGCCAAGAAAAACATAACATGATTCTACAAAACATGCAGCACTTGGCTGCAAGGCCACCGTTATTTTATTGTAACAATAGCTCGATTTTCTACGTTCGATCTCAAGCATAATAATAGACTAATCACGTTTCATATACAAATAAATAACAAAACCACCTCACCTGACAAACAAGGAGTATCAAATGAGTCAGCTAATCTTATTTAATTCATAGTTTTCAGATAAACCAAGACTGGACTTTTCTAGCAGGCAAAACAATAAACTGCTGAACTTCATTGGTAAACTCAAAGGGTTGAGTTGCAACAATATCCTGGTTTTAAAAATGCAAGAAGTAGAGTTCTCTGGATTTACACAAATATGGGAAGAGCTTCAACTCACTAACCCAACAGAAAACTAGTGAATAATTAAACCTCAAAACCCTTTGAAAACTTATCTAAAATGTAATTAGATTGTTAAAAATCCTATGGGAAATGCTTCTCAAGAACTCTGCTGTAATCTATCTGTCGTTATTAATCGAGTTCAGATTATACAAATAACCTTTCCTTGCAAGAACATTATGCAATCAGCAAACTGTACAATCCCAAGTTACTCTCTTTCAGAAACCCATATAATTTGATTATTTTCCATTAGAATTTCCCTTTTTTTAATGGCTCTAATCAGCAATAACATAGCACTAAACAGACGATGTAAAAAAAATTAAAAAATGAAGAACAAAAAAGTGAAAACAATCGTCTTTACTTGATGGGAGAGGTTGCACAAGAAGAAGAAGAAACTTGGAGAGGAAAGTGCAGTTTTCTTCCGGGATTTGATCGGAAAAAATTGTTGGGTGTGTTGAAAATGGTGTGGGAGACAAAATGGGGAGTGGGTAATGAAGGCCTTGAGGCGTTGTGGGCTGAAGCGTTGGGAACTGAAGCTTGCAAGAGCTTGGCACCCATGGCGATCGATGGTACAATTTGATTTGTTTGGACTTGGTAACGTACGTTATGGGGATCCTCAAGCAAAAAGTGCTTAAATAAACGCTTTCTGCTGTGGCTTTGTGTTAAAGGCTAAATTCACACGTGGGGACAAAAAAAGAAGTTGGTGACTAAGTAATTGGCCAAATTTAACTACATTATGGTAAGAAAATTGATATGCACATATTATATTTTTCTTTTTTAAATGGTAATTTTAATCATGTCCGTAATTTTTGTTTTATTTATTTACTATGATGATAAAAAGTAAAGATGTTTGAAGAAGAAAAAAAAAAGTGTAATTAACTGTAATTCACCGACTAAAATATGAATTGTGAATATTAAAGGGGTTGTCATTTACACTTTAGATCATCTCTAATGGTGATGTCAAATTAAAATGTTAAATTTCATTTTTACAGTTGAGGTGGCAAAACAACATTTTGTAAAGTCTACTATTCTACCCAAGATGTCAAATAAAAATATTTTTTTGGTTTTTTTTATAAAATCAAGTGGGTTGGATTTAATAAAATCATCAATAATTGAAGAAAATAAAGAAATATGTGGCCCCAGCATTAAAATAAAATAGAAAAAAGTTGACGTTGCATTCAAATCTGGCATCAAAGTGAAGAATGTCAATCCATGTAGGATTTTGACATCTCCTTTGGAATAAAAAAAGCACCTTTGTTTGTCAAAACAATCCAAGTAAGACTTTTTGACATCGCCTTTGAAGATGCTCTTAAAAACTGGAGGTCTCGGGTTTGAAACCTGTTGCTGGTATGGAAACTAGACTTATGGCCAAGAGGAGGCTAAAATGCATCTGCGAGTCTTCCCAGCCCCTGGAAGGGATGGATAACCTTGGCTTGCCAACAATTGTCCTTTTTTTTTTTGAAATGCACTTAAAAAAATTTATTTTGCACTTTATAATTGTGGAATGCATGACGATTTTTATGAAATGTCAATCAAATCTCTCTTGCTTATAACGATCAACTTTAATTATTAAAAAATTTGAAAGTGAATTAAAGGTTACTAATGGACAATTTATTTTGTTGATACATGTGATTAAAGAGGGTGAGTGGGGATAAAAAAAACTCGAGGACGTATACCTTTTTCTCGAAGGAGTAGGTTTTTTTTTTACGCACACACATGCGTACCATTTCAAAAAGTGGATTTCTTTCTACCACTTTATTGGAAATGTAGTCAATTGGAAACTTTCCAAATCAAACAAATGACTTCCAAGTCTTTAGCACGTTAAGATTTTACTTTGAAAAGGTCTATTAACATGCTAATTATTATACAATTATATATACAGTAGTTGTTAGGAAAATCAGCGTTTAGGTGAGAGAAAACGACTTAAGGTGGTTTGGATGCATGAAATAAAGATCTACATATATTTTAGTTAAAATATGTAACTACAAGATAGAGACTCATAGCAGAAGCAGTAGAGAAATATCTAGAAAAACTTGGAAATAGACTTTAAGAAAAGATACGGAAAAGTGCAAAACTGAGCACAATGACGTTCTAAGATGTATACAACCAATCTCACTGAATAAAATAAAACTTAATTATTGTTGTTTTTTGTTTATTAGGAAAATCACATCGCAACACAATACATGTGACCCCAGGAAAATCACATGGTGCTCAAGTAATATTGTTTATTTAGGGTTGAACCCACTAATTAAGATTCCATGAAATAATTGATACATTGTGGCTTAAGAAAACGAAGTAGAATCCTCTCCCTTTCTATTTCCATCTCCTTCTCTCTTCTCTTCTCACATATTGTTTTTTGTTTTATTATCTTTATAAAAAAAATATAATATAAGATGTTAACATGATTAAACTGTAACATTCAAATAGAAGAGGATGAAATGAGTGAGAGATTAGGAGGGAAAATAACCCCCCTTCTAAAGAAACAAATAGGGCAGGAAAATGTGAGGATGTTCAAATTTAAAATCATTATAATTCAACTTGCCACCAACCATTTGACACCTCGACAATTTCCAGAGCAGGTTCATATGATGCTGATCTGCTATACAATAAAAAATAAAGCACCAATGAATGGGATAAGAGAATTCCCACTATCTCTTCTTTTTCTGTTTTAATTAAAAAAATAATTGAAAAATAAGACAACAAGTACAAAAATGAGTAATAACTCACAGTAAATACTAGTACAATTCAATTCAACACTTTATTTATTCAGCTGAATTTTAATTTATTTCATTCATCCAAATCCAATATTACGTAACTAATCGTTCAACTTCATAAATCTCCTCGCTTTATGATAAACCTCCATCAAACAACTCTCGAACCTGGTCAAATCAAGTTTGACATCTTGTTGGCACAAGTAAATGTCCCTAATGTCGGTGGCCACTGGGCACCCATTTTTATCTTTATTCAGAAGGGCATATGGGTCCTTTAACAACAAACCCTCGTTGCCATACTTGTCCACCAAACAACTCTCGTCCACTCCAATCCTATACTCAATATACTCCAAATTTAAATCCTTTGCCACCTTCCCGTAAAATGCATCCGCCGCCCAGTGTAACCCTATCGGAACCACCTGCACAAACACAGATCCCGGCCGGAGAAAAAATTGGTGAGTGAGTGCAGCCCCATGCACTCCAATCATTGCATGGCTTGCATTCAACAATGCATAATTAAGATTCATTCAATGGGGTGGTGTGTTGGGCTCAAACACTTTCACATCAAATCCCACCTTCTTCATCAGCTCCACCACCTGGTCCAGGTTCGCGACCATGCGTCCACGAGCCCCCTTGCGGTTGGCCCACACGAGTATCGGTTGAGGGTCAGTGGGGTCGGATGCGAAGATTTTGCGGCGGGACGTTTCGGTATAGGCTTGGTGTATGAGCAGACGAAAATCCATGAACGTTTTTGGAGTGGATAGTAGTGTTTGGTTTATGGTCATGAAATCATGGGAGATGAGGCTTATGGTGGCAGAAGGAAAACAGTGGGTGGGTGTAAAACTTTTAGGGATGATGATAGGGTGCCTGGTGAACATTCGCATTAACTCTGGGAACTTGCGAGACCACCACGTGGTGGCCAAGGAAGCCACGATCACGAAGTCCTGATCGGGGCGGAAGATCGTGTTGACGGTGATGAAGAGTGGGATGAGCCCGTCATCGAAAATATGGTAGAAGTTGCGTCTTCGAATGAGCCCGCCGGCGCTGAATACCAGTGCCGGAACGTCGTGTTGAACCTCACACGGCGGGCCTCCTGGACCCGATGTGAGCGTGAAGTTCTTGATGTTAGGCATAATGAAACCGTCGAATTTTCGAGGGTAGGGTTGGATATTTTCCACCGCCGGGGGTTGGGCTGATGAGCTCATGGTGAAGAATGTCAAGGTTTTCGAGTCCAGGACAGTTGGGCCGTTGATTGAGCATTGATCGTAGCGTGCATGAGCACATGATTGTTGTGTTCTTCAGTGGAAGTTGCAAAGATTCTTGAGAGTGTGAATTTTGTGTGCTAATCATCTCCAATTTTTCATGAGCTCCTTCTAATTCTGAAATCAAAGAGTTAATTTTAATAAAAGTTCAACAAAAATAAATTAAAATATAATAAGAAAAAGAAAAAATTTGAGAAATTCTAATTACTTTTCCTATTTCTCTTTTTCTTTTAGCCTTCTTCACATGGCTTTTGAAATGGGGCATTTGCTTACGCTTAACTAAAAATTTAAGGGTAATGCTAAAAAAATTAAATTGTAAAAAAAAATTTGTAAATTAAATATTCTTATTGGTGACACATAATTTATTTTATAATTTCGTCTACAAATTTAGTCTTCTGAGCATTATCCGAAATTGATTTTTGAAAATACAAATCAGTTCTCTTCTCTCTACCCTTTAATAAATCTAACAAACTAAAAATGAATATAAATTGGTTCCATCCACCTCTCTTACCATCTTAACCTACCCGTCTCTACCGCTTCCTTCTGCAGCACAGTTGCCTCCATGGGTATCCTCAAACCTCTTCGCCTTATCACGTCTTCCCATCCAAACGCTTCTTTCTCATAAAACTGGCAAAACACACGATGTTTTAACAGGGTTTAGGCCTCTTTACACTGCCACAACCACAATAGCCACCGCCACGCCACGGTAGAATTGAATTCGATGATGAAGAAATCCAACCCTGTATGGCTCATCGTTTCTCGAGAGGCTAAGGCCGCTGCACCTTAAAAACTCTACAAAACCCCAAATCTAACAGCGTCAATTTAAAATAATTAACTAAAAACCCTTTTAGAGAATGTTTTTGCATTTTTACTAACAATTGATTTTCAAAATATTTTTTCATCAAAAAAGTTTTCAGTTATTTTAAAAACACTTTCACACGATTCTTAAATTTTTAGTTTCAAGTGCAACTAAAGTTCACATGTCAAAAGCTGAGTGAAGAAGACACCCAAAAAAAAAAAAAGGATAAATAGGGAAAGGTTGCATTTCTGAATACTATTGAATTACCGGTGGACCAATTAAGATCTTTGCGAGGGATCACTGCATGCACCGAGAAAATCGAAACAATTAATAAGATAACTAATAAAAGTGGTGGACAATGCATGCAAACCTTTGTTTAACAAACGATATTAAAAATTACGTTAAATTAATTTAAACTACGGAATCAGAGATTTGAGTGCAGAGGGTAGAGCACAATTTTCTTAACAACTATAGTTAAATCCAAATATGTGTAGTTGCCATGCAAACTAAGATGAATATTGGAGAGGAAATGGAAATGCTTAAGCTTTTAATTAACTAAATTAATGCGGTAATTCCATACCTTGATGAGTCTGGTTTGAGTTTGTAGTAGCATATTTTTTTAAAGATCTGGAGGTTGATGAGATGCTGATCTGGAATACAATGATAAAGAAGCACCAAGCCAAAGCCACCACCGCAGCCTTCGAAACTGTCTTCTTCGTCATCTTTTGACCTTCTTTGGCTAATGGCTGCCTCTTACCACTTCTTTCTCTTCTTTAATATATATATATATATCTCTGTGTGTGTGTGTGTGTGTGAAGAGGGAGGTATATGTATGGACTCTTGGACTTTTGAGTTGTAGTGAAAATAATGGAGTTTATATAAATTTGAACTGCATTTGAATGCTCTTACAGACTTATAAGAACTGAGTTTGTGACAAACGACCAAATTAAATGGGATCATAGGCTTTTGGAGAAAAGGTGCTAAATAACTAACCAGAGGTAGGTCTCGTGCTATTGATAATTTTGAGGCAAAACTAGCTAGTTTTTCCTTTAGGTAACGATGAGTTCTAGTTTCAGGTTTAACTCACATTGATATCAGGTCGTTTTAGTCGTATTATCAAGGCATAACTCTTGTGTGGTTTATACCGTTGTACATATTCCTGACACGAACACATATGTTGTTGCATGTAGTGGCAAATTCAGGATTCGAATTAGGACGTCCTAGTGTTAAGGGTCAAGTTTTTATGTAAAAAATTAGTTGATTTACTGTGGCATTTCTCGACACTTGGTGGCCAGTCGTCGCCAACCAAACCATATTGCGCATATGTCAATAGATATCGACATATATATGTCGAAGCATATGGTGAGTGATATCGAGAAAATTTATCGACATTTTGTAGGTACAAAAGGAACTTGTATCAAACTTTCGAATGAGCCTTGGAAGACCTTCGCATGTATATTTCCCTGACTCTAAGTGTCCTAGGACCACCTTATTCCTAGTACCACCTTGTTCCCAATATATATCCCTTAATTGTGTGCATGTATTCCATCGTTGGTAAAAGAAAATAAAAAAACTTAAGTTTGAAAGAAACTGAGTCAAAACACGAATCTTGTAGTTTCAGTTTCGACTCACGTTGATATCCCAACTCATTTAACCACCATTCCGCACTAAAACTAATGCAAGGAAACATTACTTTGGGAGAAAAGCTTCCGTTTTCTTCAAAAATAGTGAATTAAGCTTGCTTGCTTAAGCATGTTATCCAATTAGTTCTAGGAATTGACAAGAAGTCTATATAGTTGTTTTTGTTGGACGTGCGCGTCGGTGTTGTATGCATGTCAGTTACACCGAAAATTGGTCGCTGCATGCAGCGCTGTCGTTGTTTCCCATCTCTGCCTCTTGCTTGCCTCTGCAATCTGCATGCTCACTCACCTACCTTACTACTCTTCTATATTTTTGGCAACTTTTAATCAATCCTTTGGTAATGTCTTGGCAAACTCTAAGTACATTGGAAATTCATATATAGCGTAATTTTTTTTATAAACAATGATATTTTGGGGCAAGATTGATCATCGTACGGGTTACACAACGAGTCAATAATAACATAGTGTTTAACTCAGTAATCATGAGAATCGAAACTAAAACCTCATACTTAAAAATAAAAATCAATTAAATTCGGTGTAGCCATTTTCATTTTCTAATATCTGGTTTTAATTTATTTTAATTTTTATATATTTTTTTGTTGTGGTCTCAAAAAAACAATATCTATTGAGCGCACTCAGGATTTTTAGTTTATTTTTTTTTAGTCTTTTTTTATATAATGAACAAGTTGCAATGAGAAATTTCTTCTTCCACCAGATTTAGACAAAACCAAACTTGGATGGAATTGACCAATATTTGATAAACGAATACCATTGTGAATTTCATTACTTTTCTTCCATTCCGTCAAAATATAAAAATTAAATGATTACTTACTAAGATGTTGTAGTGACGACCAAATTTGATATTAAAAAACCAAAAATAAACACAGCCACTACCAGCCTGTAAATGTTGCTTCCATTATTTCATATCACAGAAACAAAAAACCACAGTAATTAACCATTTTTGTCCACAAATCTCTTAGTCTTTGTATAAGCCTCCTTCAAACAACTCTTAAATCTTTCCAAATCTAGTTTGACATTTTGCTCCTTGATGTAAATCTTCATAAACTCAGATGGCCAACCTTTTTTCAGAAGGGCAGATGGGTCCTTTAGCAAGAAATTCTCCTTCCCATACTTGTCCACCAAGCTACTCTCGTTCACTCCAATCTTATACTCGGAATATTCCAAATTCAAAGACCTAGCCCCCCTCCCGAATCGGGAGTCCCGATATAAGCAAATGCAGCCCAATTGATCCCAATCGGAACCACTTGAATAAACACAGAACCTGGTAGAAAGAACAAAGAGTGCGTCAGTGATGCTCCATGGACCACGATCATGGCATGGTTCGAATTCAGTGACGCATAAGATTCGTGCAATGGGGTTGTCCTCTTGGGATTGAACACAATCACTTCAAATCCCACCTATTCAATTAACCGAGTCACTTGTTTATGGTTCGTAATCATGCGTCCACATGCATTTTCGCGGTAGGCCAACACATGTCTTGGGCGTGATCTAGTGGGCTTGGGTGTCAAAACCTTGGGGTGGGCTTTTGGCCCATAGGCTTTCTCTGGGAGCACACGAAAATCCATGTATGATTTTTTTATTTGGTAGAAGATTTGGTTCATGGTCATGAAATCATGTGTTATATATGAGGCCTATGGGTGGCGGCATGAAAACAATGGGTGGCAGTAGTATTTTTGAGGATAATGATAGGGTACTTGTCGAACATTGCTAGTAGATCTGCATACCTACTAGGCCACCAATAGGGAGCTTCGGAAACCACGATCACGATGTCTTGATCGGGGAAGATTGTGTTGACGGTGATGAAGAGCGGAACAACCCGTCATCGAAGTCATGGAAGAAGTTTCCGGTGTACCCTCCTGCACTGAATACTAGGGCAGAAACATTGTGCTGGACTTTACATGATGGGCTTTGTGGGCCGGAAGTGAGAGTGATGTTCTTGATGCGAGACATTATGAACCCTTCGAATTTTCGAGGGTAAGGCTGGACTTTTCCCACCTGTGGGGGCTGGGCCCATAGCGAAGAATGTTGAAAATATTTGTGTCCAAGACAGTTGAACCGTTGATTGAACAGAGATCATATCGTCCATCTGTACGGTCGCAGACAATTGGAAGTTGCAAAGATTCTGAAGGGTGAGACCGTGAGAGTTGCAAAGACTCTGAAATCGAAGTTTAAAACAAAATTAGTGATGATATTTAGTAGTAAATGATATTTATATCATTAATCTGATATTGATTAATTATATATTTTATTATGAAAGAGGCCTCCATGCGTTAAGTCGAGTAATATAGTAAAGAAGAATCGGTACAATCTGTTCAACACTTTTTATATATTAGCAACAATGGGGAGGGAGTAATCGAACTCGAGACTACGGATGCATTGTAAATGCTATTAATTAACTGAGCTTCAAGCATCGAACCTATGCTTTAAACGTTAAACGACTTATGGTGCATCTGGATTAATATTTTTTTTTGGGTTATAACTTTGATCTAAAATGGTAAACTTCCTTCAAATTTCTTGAAATATATATGCTTCTAAAACTTGAGGGAATTTGATACGTAATTGCTTTGGATGAAAAATAGCAGAGGGATTGAAAATATTTCTCATACCTTGAGTAGTAGTCTTCGCTGAATATGTAGTAGTGGTAGCATATTTAAGAAATCTGGAGGTTGAAGAGAGGCTGATTTCGAACAAAATGAAAAACAAGCACAAGGCGGCCACAGCCACCGCCGCAGCCCTCGGACTTGTCTCCTTCATCCTCCTTGTGCGGCGGGGGCTTGGCTGCCGGCAATGGCTATGTCAAAAACGAAGTGATCAGTTTTCTGCAGCTATATATATCCTCAGCATGCCGACGTACGTGGCATGAATCCGATGGAGAACAACCAGAACATATACGAATCTGCTTTGGATGCTGATAAAATATGTGTGTGTGTGTGTGTGTGTTGTGTGAGAGAGAGAGAGAGAGAGAGAGAGAGAGAGGTAGGTTAGCTAGGGTTCTGAAATTGTACAGGATGATTGGGAGAACAGTGAGAACAGTGCCAAATAAAATTTTAAGAAGAAAAATTAAAGTGACCTATTTGGGTCTGTAAAGAAATTAAATTAAAGCTTTGCTTAAGCTTGCAATCCAATTAATTATTTTCTAATTAATGAAAAATCTTATTTTCTTGGAAGTGCGTTGCATGTAATTCAGTTACATAAAATAGCTCCAATGCTCCATCATGTGTCGCTTGTACCAGAAAATCAAAATATATCAATACCCTTCTTTGTCCATGAATTTCTTGACCACTTAACTAGTTAAGTTCTTTCTCATGCTTCTATTACATGTTTCGTGATGTGTCTTTTCACATATTATATCACTTTTATTTAGTAAAAAAAAAAACAAATTCAAATGTTATAGTGTAAATGAAGTAACTTCATGTAATCGTGTTTTTTTTTTTTTTGAATAATCAATATTATATATTAGGGATACAACTCGAGTGGGTTGGACGGGTTGGAAGGTCAACCC